ATCTATCTATCTATCTATCTATCTATCTATCTATCTATCTATCTATCTATCCATCCATCCATCTATCTATCTATCAAATTTCTATACCGCCCTACTCCCGGAGGACTCAGGGCGGTGAACAGCCAAGATAAAATACAGATAATACAAACATTAAAAAATCCCTTAAAATTATTAAATATTTTGGCCGAAACACAGATTAAAACACCCAATTTATAAAGCAAATCAAACGAATTAAAAATTTAAAAAGGAGAGTTAGGCCAAGCCAGCCTGCTGAAATAAAAAAGTTTTGAGAGCACGACGAAATTCATTGCAAGTATCCGGCCCAGGGGTGTAGTTTGAGGACCCCTGATTTAATGCAATATAAAAAATGCAAATAATTGTTCTGCAGACCATCACATTTTTTTCACGGACCACCAATGGTCCACGGACCACCAGTTGGTGACCGCTGCTCCAAAGCCCCAGAAGGCAGGACAAGAAGCAACGGATGGAAACTGATCAAGGTGAGAAGCAACCTGGAGTTAAGGAGGAATTTCCTGACAGTGAGAACCATTAATCGGTGGAACGGAAGTTGCCTCCAGAAGTTGTGGGTGCTCCAACGCTGGAGGTTTTCATGGAGAGACTGCACAGCCACTTCTCTGGAAGGTTATAAGGTTTCCTGCTTGGGCAGGGGGTTGGACTAGAAGACCTCCAAGGTCCCTTCCAACTCCGTTATTCGTCCAGAGTCCCTAGCACGCACGCAGATGGAGTTACTTCATTGGTGTTGCAGCTATTTTCGTTATTCTTAATGTTGCTGTTCTGTCTTTAATGCGTGTCTGAGAGGGAAACGCCCCCCACTGCCCCTCCCTATCTGCCTGCCCCCCACTCCTCGGAGCCCCCTGGCCCTTCCTCTCCCTGGCTTCCCTCTTCCATCTGAAGCCACTAACTGAAGCCGGCCAGCCTTTCCTTCCTCTGCTGAGTCAGCAGAGCCCCTCCGAGGCGGGTGGGAGGGGGCTCCGTGTGGCAGACGTGCCTTTGATGTCAAAGCAGCAAGGCAGGGAAGGGAAGGGGGCGGTGGCGGCAGGGAGGCCTTCTCCAGATGTGGCCATCCTCCGGCCCTCCCAGGGGAGGTGAACAGCTCAGGTAAATGCAGGTAAGAAGCAGCTGGAAAGAAGGAAGGGGAAAAAACCCTGGGGATGAAAAAAGACCCCAGACCTCTTAAGATGGCCAGCAGACCAGAAGCCGTGGCAGCCACCAGCCAAAGGGGGCTTCCTCCCACTCAGAAGCGCCCACCCCAGAAACGCTCTGCTTCCCTTTCAGGCAAAGTCTGAACTTATACTTATTATTAAATATGTTTTTATTATCAAATTTATATTGAGCAGAACTGTCTTTTTATTATCAAATTAAAATTTTTATTATTAAATTTATCTTCATTATTACATTTGTTTTGTGTTTATTTATTTCTATCCTGCCTTTATGATTTTTGCAAATAACTCAAGATGGCGAAGATATCCAATTCACCTCCCTCCTCCTTTTTTCCCTCAACAACAACCCTGTGAGGAGGGAGGGTTGGGAGGAGACTGACTCAAAGTCACCCAGTTCAGGCTTTAATGCTGAATACTAGATAGATGATAGATACCTATCTATCATCTGGAGATAGGTAGGTAGGTAGGTAGGTAGGTAGGTAGGTAGGTAGGTAGGTAGGTAGATAGATAGATAGATAGATAGATAGATGATAGATAGATAGATAGATAGATAGATAGACATAGATATAGATATAGATATAGATATAGATGGATGGATGGATGGATGGAGATAGATGATGGATGGATGGATGGATGGATGGATGGATGGATGGATGGATGGAGATAGCTAGATAGATGGATAGATAGATAGATGGAGATAGATGATAGATAGATGGATGGGTGGAGATAGATAGATGGGTGGATGGAGATAGGTAGATAGATATAGATATAGATGGATGGATGGATGGATGGATGGATGGATGGATGGATGGATGGATGGAGATAGATAGATGGATGGAGATAGATGGACAGATAGACAGACAGAATAGTCTCAGGCAGACAAAGTTGGATCAGATGGTGCCCTGCACGGGTGGAGAACATTTCCGAAACCCGACCGAAGCTTTGAGGTCCCTTTGGGGCCACCTCCATCACACTTTGGAGACCTCTGCTGGTGTCCCAACGGTGGCCTTACTAGGGTTTGTGTCTGTGTGTGTCTTTTACACAAACCAGCCCAGCAGTTCTGAGAAGGTGGCTGGGTGTGTAGGAGAGAGGCCGTTTCCCACGGGGGTCTTCCCCCTCCCCACCTACTCCAAGAGGGCCTCCGTCACTTTCCCCGCCTCTTTGGAGGAGCCCAGATGGTCCTCTTGGAGGACCGGCCCTTGAAATGACACCGAGACGGTTCTGGCTCCCTGGTGATTATGTTACTTCGCTGCTTTGGGTAATTTGGAACCCAAGTCTGGAAAGGGCTTTGAAGTTCTGCTTTTCTTTTCTTTTCTTTTTTAAAGCTGCTAAAAGTATTGCAAAATGGGGAAAAAATGCAGAGAAGTTCCAGCTGGTCTCTTTGACAAGCAAGTGACTTTGCTTCAGGCTCCAGATGTCAAAAGCGGAACATTTTCCCCTTCCTTCCTTCCTTCCTTCCTTCCTTCCTTCCTTCCTTCCTTCCTTCCTCCCATCATTTCTTCTTTCTTTCCTTCCTTCCTTCGCCCCTCCCTCCCTCCCATCTTTTCTTCCTCCTTCCTTCTCTTTCTTTCTCTCTCCCTCTCTCTCCTGCTTTCCCTCATTTCTCTTGCTCTTTCTCTCTTTCCCTTTATTTCTCTTTCTCTCTTGCTTCCCCTTTTCTTCTTTCTCTCATTTCTCCCTTGCTTTTTTTGTTTTGCCTCTCTTTCTGTCTTACTTTTTTTCATCTATTTCTATCTCTTACTCTTTCTTTCTATTTCTCTCTGTGTTTTTCTCTCTTTGTTACCCCCTCTCTCTTTCCTTTCTCTGCCTCCCTCCCTCTCTCTCTCTCTCTCTCTTGCTTTCTCTCTTAACTTTCTCTCTCTATACATTGAACAGGTCATGTTATTGTTTGCGGGGTTTTTTTTTTTTTGAAAAAAGCAGAAGAAGCTGGCTAGAGTGAATTCAAGCAGTTCAAATTGCTTTTATTAGCTTTATCATGCCAAATCGATAATGCCCACCATGGTATCAACCACCTGACATCTTTGCAAAATCCAGATAATTGACCAATTACGGACTGCCATCTTTCTATTCAGGGCGAAGAGGGAGGGAGGGTCCCCATCTGCGACCCCACCCTTCAAATGAGAGGATGCCGGGAAAGTGAAGAAAATGAAGAGATCCTTTGAGCCAAACTCACGAAGCAGCTTGTGACTTTATGGGATTCCTTAGGAAAAAGTCAGAACTTTTCTGGGCTATTTTTCAATAATGCAGCCTCAGCTTGGCTTTCCTAGTGGCGTCTCATCCATTCAAACCTACCTTAGGTGCTGCTTTCTGCAGGGACAAGGCTCCCTGGAGGTGAACTGGACTTGGGAGCGGGGGTGGGGATTTTGTGAATATACGGAAATCACTTACCTTTTCTAGATGGATGCTTCTCCTGGCTGGGCCTCTGGATCTCCTGGTGGTCTCCCATCCGATTACCAATCGGCTCCCATTGGGTGTTCCAGATGGGCAAAATGCTCCTTGCAAGTAAGCCAAGGATCCTGGCAGCCCCCCTTGGTCTGCCTGTCTGTCTGCCTGTGCACGTGTGTCTGGGTGGGGGTGGCTGCCTGTTGTGTAAGCCCCAGACCTGCACGGCTGATCTGCTCAGGAAGGGCTCCGTCCCCAGTAAGGGGGACCGAAAGGGCTTCCCCCGCCGGCTGCTTTGGAGGCTCGGGACCTCGTGCGGACACAGCCAGTGGCGCTTCCCAGGACAAGCCCGGCAATCCATCCATCCATCCATCAATCCAGGTTAGATTCAATCAGCCTTGGTAGTACAGTGGTCTAAGGCACCCTGTTATTAAGCTGGTTATTAAGACCAGCTGCCTGCAATTACTGCAGGTTCGAATCTCGCCAAGGCTCAAGGTTGACTCAGCCTTCCATCCTTTCTAAGGTAGGTAAAATGAGAACCCAGATTGTGGGGGCAATAAGCTGACTTTGTATAAATATACAAAAGGATGAAGGCTATTGCTGAGCACATTGTAAGCCGCCCTGAGTCTTCGGAGAAGGGCGGCATATAAATCAATTTTTTTTTTAAAAAAAATCAATCCAGATTGGATTAGAGCTGGAAGGGACCTTCGAGATCTTCTAGTCCAGCCCCTACTTGAAGAGGAGACCCTCCCCCACTTCAGACCAAGTGCCTGGCCAGCCTCTTCTCGCACAACTCGCGGGGTCCCCCCCCTCTCCCCCTCCCTCCCTCGCCCGGCCCTCTCGCTGCCCCCTCCTCTTCTTCCCCCTCCTCCTCCTCCTCCTCCTCCTCCTCCTCTGTCAAGCCGCGGGCGCCCGGTTGGGTCCCCGCCGGGGTCTCCGCACGTGCGCGGGGGAGCCCCGCCCTCGCCGGGCAGCCCTTGCCGGGCGCGACCGCTGGGGGGAGCCCCCTCCCTCCCTCCCTCCTCCCTCGGCCCGGCTTCCAGCTGTTCCCGCGAGAGATTGACAGCTGGACGGCGGGGCGGCGATAGGCTCAGCCGGCGGCCCCGCCAGCCCCGTCCCCCTTATAGGCGGGGAGGCCTCAGCCCCCGCCTCGTCGGGCGGGGCCTGCCCGGCCTCCCTATAAAAGCCAGACTGCGCCCTTCAGCACTTCAGTTGCGCGCGGAGGGGGGAGGCGGCGGGCGGGCGGGCCGGTGGCGGCGGCGGCGGAGGGCGCAGCGCCGGGACCCTCGCGCGGAACGGGCCGGGGAGGGGGGGCCGTCGAGGAAGCCCCCTCCCCGCAGCGGGGGCCTCGCACCGCTCCCGAGGGGGCAGCCCCAGCCGGACCAGCCGCCCCCAACCCCCCTCCCTCCCTCCCGGGGGTCCCGCAGCGGCGCGAGCGGCCGGGGCGGCGGCGGGGGCGCCGTCGTGGGGCCGGGGGCGGCTCTGGCGGCCCGGGGCGCGGCCTGAGATGGCCTCGGAGCTGGCCCTGAGCGGGGCCGAGCTGCCCACCAGCCCGCTGGCCATCGAGTACGTCAACGACTTCGACCTGATGAAGTTCGAGGTGAAGAAGGAGCCGGCCGAGGCGGAGCGTTTCTGCCACCGGCTCCCGCCGCCGGGCTCGCTCTCCTCCACGCCGCTCAGCACCCCCTGCTCCTCCGTGCCCTCCTCGCCCAGCTTCTGCGCGCCCAGCCCCGGCGGACAGCCCGCGCCCGGCCTCGGAGCCCCGACGGCCGCCGGAGGAGGAGGAGGAGGAGGCGGCGGCGGCAACGGCAACGGCGCCCTCGGGCCGGGCAAGGCGGCGGCGGCGCAGCTGGAGGATCTCTACTGGATGTCGAGCTATCAGCACCACCTCAACCCCGAGGCGCTCAACCTGACCCCCGAGGATGCCGTCGAGGCGCTGATCGGAGCCCCCCACCACCCCGCCGCCGCCCACCACCACCACCACCACGGGCACCACGGCGGGCCGGGTGGCGGGGGCGCCCCCGGGGGCAGCTTCGACGGCTTCCGAGGGCAGCCCTTCCCGGGCGAGGAGCTGCCCCCCGGCGCCACCGGCCCCCACCCGCACCCGGCCCTGGGCCACCACCACCATCACCACCACCACCACGGGCCGGGCGGGGCCGGGGGCGGCGGCCACCACCACCACCATCACCACGGCCACCACCACGGGCACCACCACCCGGGCCACCTGCACGCGCGGCTGGAGGAGCGCTTCTCCGACGAGCAGCTGGTCTCCATGTCGGTTCGCGAGCTGAACCGGCAGCTGCGGGGCTTCAGCAAGGAGGAGGTGATCCGGCTGAAGCAGAAGCGGCGCACGCTGAAGAACCGCGGCTACGCCCAATCCTGCCGCTACAAGCGCGTCCAGCAGCGGCACATCCTGGAGAACGAGAAGTGCCAGCTGCAGGGCCAGGTGGAGCAGCTGAAGCTCGAGGTGACGCGCCTGGCCAAGGAGCGAGACCTCTACAAGGAGAAGTACGAGAAGCTGGCCGGGCGCGCCTTCCCCCCCGCGCCCCCCAACGGGGTCCGGGAGCCGCCCCCGCCGCCCCCCGCCCCCGCCAAGCCCGCGGACTTCTACCTGTGAGACGGGGCCCCGACGGGGCGGACCAGCGGGGCTCGCCTTGCCCGGCCCGACGGAGGAAGAAGACGCGGGCGCAGCGCTTGGAAGGAGGAGGGGATCCGCCTGACACCCCCCCCCCCAGTCTGTCTGTCCGTCCGCCTGGACGTGTGGACCCTCCGACGGCACCACAGATGGCCGCCTCCGCCCGGGCCCCTCTGGACGGAGAGAGACTGACCGCGCAGCACGGACGGATGGAAAGGAGCCGCTTGTCGTCGGCCCAGCCGGGCGAAGGACGCTTCGACGGAGACCCCCCCACTCCTTTCTTCTTCTTCTTCTTCCCCGGGGACCCCTGCATGCCGGCCATGTATGGGATTTAGCCCGCCTCGCGCCTCTTCCCCCGACGGGGCGCCCTGCACCTGGCGAGACCGCCTCCGTCCGGCTCTCGCTCCTTCCTTCCTTCCTTCCTTCTCTTTCGACGGGGCGGCCCGGGGCGCCCACTTTGCCGGCGGGGGACTCGGCTCGTTCGGCCTCGGAAGCTGGGTTGAGTTTTCTTTGCCTTTTTATCTGCCCCCATTCCCCCCCCCCCCACCCTCCAAATTCCTGATCTGTGTGTCTGTCTGTCCTTTTTTTAAGACGGGGAACTGAGCCAATTAACTTATTAAAAGTGTCCACTTGTACAGCGGTCGCCTTTGCCCCCCCTCCTCTTCTCCCTTCCCCCCCCCCCCGCCCCCACCCCCGATTTTCTCCAGCCTTCATTTGCTTGGTGTTTAAACGAAAAGAGAAAAAAAAAAACGAACTTCAAACACGAGTCTTAAATAAAAGTTTGTATGTAATAGCATGCAAATAATATAAGAATTAATTTAACGATGATGTTGACAGAGCCGAATGCACTATATACAGTAAATTGGATTAAAATAATGCTGTTTGTTTTATAGAGATTTAAAATTATCTATGCTGTTTAAAACAATTATTTGGGAGGGGAAAAATTAAACACTCCTTTAAGATGATTTGAAAGGCAATAGATGAATATATGAGCTGCTATATTAATGTTACAAATACTATGCACCAGAATTATTTATTAAATGTCAAGGAAGCGAAATGCAAGTCGGAACCTTGATTTATAAAATGCACACTTTATTTATTGCAGAATCAACCCAGAAAAAAACCTTGCAGTTAATGCTTTTCAAGGGAAAGCTTTACTGAACTGGATTTGGGGTGGTGTTGTTTTTAAACGTTTATTTAAAAAATAAAATAAAAAAATGAAACCGTAAAGGAATAAGGATGCTAAATGAATAATGGGCGTTTCTCAAAAGCCCAAAACAATTTGTGAAATTTTGGAAACTGGTGCATTTTTAGGTGCGAGGCATTTTAAATGACCTTTCAATTTTTGTGGTTTTTAACAGTTTCATCTAGATAAAATCGATTTTCCTCTGAAGCTTTGATTCAGTTCTTAATCTTTATTTCTTTTTCCACATCCTGCTCTTGAGCCATGCAGGCAGTTACAACCTCAAACCAACTTAATATTTATATATAGATAAATATATTTTTTGTTTATTTGTCATGAACTGTTTCTGTTTGTGTTCAGGCATCCTAGCTTTCATTTGCTACGAAACAAAAAAAAATAAATCTCTTTAGACATAAATCTTTTGGTCTTCCCTTTCTAGTTTTTCCTCTAAATCTGCTGAAGATCTTTTGCGTGTCTCGGTGGTTGTCGGAGGAGGATAAAACATGGGGGAAAGATAATTTTGTTTTGCTTTTTTCAGAGAGAAAATGTGGGAATGTACATAATTCTAGCCTCTGGAAAGAATCCAGAGATTTAGAAAACATTTAAAATTTCCTATAAGACTGGATAAATGAAATTAAAAGACCTTTAGTTCAAAGATTATCTAGCAAAATAGATACTCCTGCATTTGCTACTTTAATTTCTTTTGATTTTTCTTTTTCTTTTCTATAGATTCTGTTTCAGGTCATCTTCGATGTTAAATTTTCCCTCTCAGCTTTATCTACCGTATGTATCCTTTTTCCTTTTCATAAGATTTATACCTTGATTCAGTTTTCTATTTTTTTTAAAAAAAACCATTTGTTTCAGATGAATCCAGACAGATTTTGCAATGCTATCCTGCAGTTTTTAAACACCGAAAGAACATTTTAAAATAGTTGGTAAATATCTGTATTCAATTCTGGGTCAAGCATGCATTGTAGCTACTTTTGGTAGGAAGTTGGTGGGAGAATAATCTTGTTTCCTATTTAACTATTTTGGCTGCTTTTATCACAACACAATGCTGCCCACAAGTATTTATTTTAGATGGTAATAAATGACTTTCCCCCCTCCAGTTCCGCTTTTGACCTTTAAGCATTTTATCTTCTTTAAATCAGTTTTATAGAGCTTAAAAATACCATGTGGGCTAATGGATAGGTGTGGTGGGGGAGGGGCGGACCGTCTTTCCAAACTTGATAAATGTCATATTTTAGATGCTCAAAGTTGCGTGGATATTTTAAACTCTACATTTTTCAACCGATTATATCGCGCTCTGCTTCCTTTAGAAAAATAGCCCAGAAAATGGATTTGAAGGGCGAGATAGGTGAGAAGGAAGGAAACTTCATCGGAAGTCATTTTTTTAAAAAGGATTTTCCTAGGGGGGGTGGGAAGCAGAGAATCTGGCAGGAACTTAGTTTATTTTAGGATAAATTTAGAAATTTAGAAAAAAAAATAATCTAACGATCTTGGGCTTTGATTTCCAAGTGTGGGGCTTAGAATGAGCTTCTTTGGGGGATCAGCCAGATGAGGAATTCGGGGACCAAAAAAAAGGGGGGAGGGGAGAGGCTTGATCCAAACAGTTTGGGAGTCGTTTTAGTGGCTCCTTGGAAGAAAATATCTTCTTATCAAGGCGGAGTCCAAGCTACATTTCTTTCAATGGAGAGTCGATCACCTGTTGCCCATTCTTTTTCTTCTTCTTTTCTTTCTTTCTTTTTCTTTTTTTTACAAATGCTGCAAACGGGGTGGGGGAGGGGGAGAGAAACGGCTGAGTTTGTGCAGGTTTTAAAACGGCTCCTTTCTCCCTCCAGCAAATCTCTTTTGTTTCTTCCAGACGTTCTTTTTAGCCGTTTTTTTTTTTTCTCGTGCAGATTTGCGCTCGGTCGAGGCTGGCGGCGAAATTGCAATTTAGGATCTGGAATCCGGATCTCTAGACATCTCTGGAGGGGTCGGCGGGGCAAGTTAGTTGGGGTCCCCCTCCGTTTCCTCCTTTGGAAGCCAGGAGGAGAAGATTCACGTCGCGGGGGACCAGGGAAGTGGGATGCCTTTATTGCAAGTTGATAGTGTGTGTGTGTGTGTGTGGAGGAAAAAGCCTTTTTGCAGAGTTTTCAGGATCGTGTTCTAGATCTGATGGCCTTGAGCGGCTCTCCGTACCAAGCGGATTTTTTTTTTCGCAGTGCGCAACTCTGCGCGCGGCCGGATCCTCTGGGGTTGCTTTCCTTGCGAAGGCTGGCTGGGATCACCAGAGACATTGTGGCTTCTTTGGAGAAGTGGGGGGGGGTCTCTCTTGTGGTGGCTTCGCTTTGCAGCCTCTCCTCCTTCATCACAATAAGAGAAGAAAACAACAACATCCCTGAAAAGCAAATAGGCTAGAAAACTGACAGGGAAACGATCTAAAGTAGGATCGCAGTCAACGATTATTCCAGTCAGCCTGCACAGTACAAAGGAGGAGAGATGGTGCTTTTGATTAACTTCTCTGGGAGTTTAAATTTAAATTTTTCCTTCCTGTTTTTTTTTTTAAATTTATTTTCACTTTCTAGTTGACCTCCTCACTTCTAATTTAAATCCAGCTCTGGAGCAGCAGCCTCCTTTTGACCCTGATGGTCTCAGAAAAAAAAGAAATTATAAGTTTTCAGTTGGTCCATATTTGGATGGCAGATGACTAGTAAAAAAAAGTCTGGGAAACAAATATTCCAGAAAAAGCAAAAAAACGGCAACTTGCTGGGTTTATTATTCCCTAAAACACATCATGCATCAGATCTGAAGTGGGGGGAGGGGGCTGCTTTGAGAGACAGAGACACCTCACTTTTTCTAGCTTTGCTTCTGGCTTCTTGTTTGGACATTTTCCTGCAGTTTTTATTACCTGTGCTCCAAATATGGTGTTGCAATCCCAGCATCTCGACCGTCTCTGCGATTTGGAACATTTGGCCTTCCTGCGGATAATTCATTTTTTATGTTGAGGGAACAATGATGTCAAGTTATCCAGAAAGCTCGGCGTCAGGTAAATATGAGCCAAAGTAAAACCGGTGATGAAATAAGATATTCTAAAGAGATTTTAAAGGTAGACTTACAAAATGGGGCGGCTACAGAATGCGGAGTGTTTTCCTACCGCGTGGAGCACCTTGGCATTCCGCGGTTAGCCAGGTGTGGTTGAAGATCAAATGCTTCGGTTGGTTTCCTTTTGCCTATTAAAATCCAAAATATAAATACTTTTATTTCAGATACTGTATTTTCCAAAGCAAAGCTTAAGCCCGATTTGACGACTGCCTCGTCTCGGTTAATGTCCTGGCTGCTCTCGGTATATATTAATAATGGTCTGAATAGGATGTTCATTAAGACGCAAATATCACTGTATTGTTTTCTTGTAGCCAGAATTTGAAAGTTTACTGTGTTTGAAACCTACTTTCATTCTCTGACTGGTTGCTGGGTCTCAGCAATGTAGGAACTGTGTGTTGAAGCGGTTGCTTCTCCTTGTCTTAAAATTGCTAAGAGACGAGGGTTTTATTCCCAGCAAATTTTTCTTCATCCAGCCCAGCACTGCGCCTCTTTCTTATATGGCCTCTTCCCTTTCCCTGATGGTTGGTTAAATTTTTCCTTTATAAGCTGCAGTCTCTTAAGGACAAGGGAAATCCTGTCCTGTCCTGTACTTGTGTAACAACCTCATGGGTCTGTGTGTCCCAATATTTGTGAATTTCTTCCCTATGTAGAGCAGATGGGATGTCCAGCTGCATTTTGATCATTCCTGTGGTTCAATCCGGCTGCTGCCTTCGTTTCTATTTGTCTTTTGCCAGTTTAGGGAGGGCTAAGTAGCCCCCTGCAATTAACATTTTCTAAATATTAAAATCCCATCACTAAAAATAAACATTCGGTGTCGTTAGACCGTATGTAATTTTGGTTTTCTGCTTGTGAGGTTTATTATTTTATAAATGCACATATATTTAATTGGAGAATTAATTGTTCGTTTTACAGATCCAGCGTGTTGGTTTCCGCACTAATAAGGAGATCAAGGTTTGGCTTTGTCTGTTATGAAGTTTCTCCCCTCTTCCTTTTCATCAGACAAAACCTGAATTTCTGCCCAATTTTGGAGTTGCGGTGATGATCGCTAGTGGACAAATCCTAGGTTTGTTCAGAAACGTTCATCCGCTGATGCTGCGATCTAACACTTGAATATTGTTGGTCTCCCATCTGGTTTGGGGATCGCTCGGAGTAATGGCCTCAACCTTGTTGCCTTGCCTTGCAGACTTGGCAAAACAAAGGCAGATCTGAGCTTTTAATAGCTGTGTTAATGATTGAACCCGCTCCTCTCGGCCAGTCTTGTAACTGTTATTGTAACACAATTGGTGCTGTTGTCAATTTGAAGCTGGCCAGATGGACGGAGGGGTTAGGGACTTTGGCTGACCTGCTGTAGGTGGCCTTATCCAAACACACAACGATGCTTGTGAGTGTCCAAGTCACACCTTCCTTCCTGCGTCCAATTCTTTGGATTGTGTAGGTCCCTTCTGGATGGACAGATTGAGATCCCTTTCCTGCTCTGTATAGATCCACCAACTTCAACAGACTCGATTCCCACTGGATCTCTCTAGGATTACACTGGAGAAAGCACTTTGCTGCAGAAGGGACTCAAGACAAAAAGCCCTCCACGCTCTATCCAGTAAAACAAAAATTCATTATTAGTAATAATACTTTCAAAACCTTTTGTGTGTGGGGGGGAGGGTGTTTCTTTTTGCTGAAAATAGATCCCACCTGTTCTCAGACAGAGATAAGAGGCGTGATGAGAGCCCAAAACCAAAATTCAATGCAACCGACTCTCGTTAAAATCTGGGCAATCTGTTTCCTTTAATCATATTTATTCACAGAAATATCTGCCAAGTAATTGTGCACTGTTAAATGATGTGGATCTGCTCACGAGCCGCTTTGAACTTAAATCCACAAGCCAAGGTTTGTGGTGATTTAATCACGTTCTGGGGTTTGCATAATAGGGCAACGTAACGTATTAATATTACAGGACAATATAGTGTTCAATTGCATAAGCACTGAATTCGCATAAGAGGGACCCAGTCCAGTTTTGGGAGCCTCCTGTAGTTTTGGGACGATTACTTAATATTTGGGGTTTTCAGGAGTTCTAGGTTTCCAGCCTCCGAAAAATAAGCCAGGTTCGTGAGCTGACTTGTAGGGCAAGAGCAGCTGTGATTTAAATTTGCGTTCAGAGCTGTTTTTATTTTAAATAAAAAGCAGCAATAAAGAAACTGCAAATTATATTTCTTGGATATATTTTATTTCTACAGACACCAACATGGCTTGCTATGTTATTGCATGTCATATGCTCTTTGTCACTTTAGTAACCGTTGATATGTTGTACTTTTTTGCATCTGCATACCTATATTTTG